GCAGAGCAGACGCTGAATGCGCACTTTCGTCTGGTTTGGTCTGCCGGCTTCCGTAGCGTCGTGAACGCGCATGTGCGCGCTTTCAGGAAATCCTATACACTACTGTTTATGCTCTAAAAACATTCTAAATGACTTCGTTTCGAGTAAATTCTGGATGCTACCCACTCAGGACACTTGGAATACATTGGACGAGCAGTATGGAGGAATATTGACACGTTTTTTGTGGACTTTTATGGACCTTTCTGTCTCGGGCACCATAGACCTCCATTATTTGAATGTCAGCAGACAGCAAGAAGCCTCCCAGATCTCCAGATGCATTTGAGATATCAAAAAAGTACTCCAGGGTGTTGTTCAGCATGGGGGTGAGTAGAAAATGAAGGCTAATCATGTTTTGGGTGTACTATTCCTTTAACCTATTCCACAATCAGCACAACTACCTTTACATTCTACTAGAGACCATGCCCCACTGTAATACTGTATTGTGTCAAAAGTCGTTCTGCTGCACCAACCCCAAAGCTACAAAACCCCTTTCAAAATTATCTCAAAATCACATCAAAGTAGTGGCTTGAATGTATCACAGACTCATGATGCTGCTACCCCCTACCATGCTTGTGACAGAAGGCATCTGCTCACAGACACCCATTCTTTTTCTGTGGTAGCTCAGCAGGAGCATCACACTGGGAACATCTCCAGAATAGCAGGCCTAGAATCTTCGTTCTTCAAACCCTGCTCAAGTTTACCGGAACTGCTGTTTATCTCAGATCCAGATTCTGCAAAACGGACTTCTTGCAAGTATTCTCTCTCATGAATGACCTGAAGGTAGCACAGACTGAAGCCATGGAGCATCCAAAAGGCCTAAGGCCTCCTTTTTAGGCCATCTAAACCCAGACCCATCCAACAAAGCAGGGGCTAAACCTTCCAGAATTTTAGTTACCATTCAAAAACCGAGATCAGCAGATGTTGAAGGTCCAGGAAAGTTGGTTTTTCAGCTAAACAATTTGGGTTTACATTTTTTTCTGATAATTTCATCTGTTTTACTGTTGTGAAATAACAAAACAAAAAACAAGCTGACAAGAGCTAATTGTTCTTTCACAGTGAATGCGTTGTCCGCGGTAATTCCCGCCATCACCGCATTGAATTTCTTGATAAACCTCAATGGATAAGTGATTTTGGGTTTGGGAGAGATTATGTCCTGTATACATAAAGAATAGTTGAAAATACTATCTCAATGTAGTCTAAGATTTTGCAATATATTTCTTTTTGGTTCTTCCAAACTTGATATGTCTTAGCGGATTGCCCGGGGAACCATGAAAAACTTCCAGCATTGCTTCCCCCTCAATAAGAAAAATCATGTGTAAGTAGGAAATTACTCAGCTTTCCTGTAATTACTTGGTTAAATTTGAATAAAATGTGAGAAATCTGACAGATAGTACTTTAATCAGCGGAGATAAATCCAGCAATGAGCTTATAAAATTGGATAGAAAAATGACACACAAAAAAAAGATAAAATTTGTTCTTTATGTCTTTCCGTACCTGAGCAGTCTCCTACATTTGTACAGTTATACACACACGTTCACCTTGTGTGTGGGCACCTTGGTAGGCAGATGGTAGCGGTGGTGCCACTGCCTGTTGCTAAGCAATTAGCAAGTCCATTACCTCTGCTAAATGCCCACAATATGTACTTTTCTCCCCGTGTGCTTTTCTGTGTCCCTGCTGTGTGTGTTGGTAGAATGTGTTGATAAAAGCATGCTTTATTACTATAATCCACATCCTTCTGTTGTCTGACCCCTTTTTGTGCCTACCTCACATTTTTCAGTCATCTTTTTAACAGTTTTTAAACATCCAGCATTTTTTTGGTTTATGTTATGTAATTCTGCTGAATTTAGCATGCATATTAGGGATATTTGACTTCTCAACATTTTTTTAGATATTTAGTCTACTTCAGTAAGATTTTAGTATGTACAGCATGTTTCGCATTTAATATTAAAGGTACTTTTTTATACCTTATCCTGTAATTTTTCTACATATAATTCTGTTCCAGTTTTCTACAAATATTTTAATCAAACTAGAAATTAACCCACAATTAGAAAATAAAATATCACATGATGTCATTGCATAACAGAAAGGCAACATTCCTCTCTGGTATGATGTTTAAAAAAGCCCTATCAAAGTAAGAAGACTTGAGGGCATTTTTCTCGTTTCCTCACTTTAGACTGTGTTTTTTCCTTTTTCTTTTTTTGCAGTCAGAAAGGTTTAAAGAAATTTGACTTTGTCTTAAGTAGAATTTTGTAATAGTGGTAGCTGTCTGGCGCTGTGCAGAAGCAGGTAACAGAGCAGTGCTATTTTACTATAACATAGCAGAAAAAAGTTATTAAATGAAATAAAATTAAAAGAAAAAAATGCAGTTTCATCACGCTTAATTTTAATAATTTTGTCTTCATGTTATAAAAGCAATTGTACATGCATTGAATTACAGTAAATCACATGCCTTAAAAATACAACTACTTAAATTATCTAAGCTTAAATGCCTCTGTATAACTAAAAGACAAAAAAATGATGTTTAGATGATGATTTAAGAAGTGGTGGGTTTGTGCTCAGAGCAGAGCGCTTGCATTTTTAGGATGGTGCGAGTGCTTGGTTCAAACCCCACAGCCTTCCACTCTGGAACCCTAAACAAGACCCTTAAACCCACACTGCTCCCAAGGCGCCGCACAGTGGCAGCAGACTGCTCCCCAAGGGAATGGGTTAAGATGCAGATGTGAATTCCTCCTGTGAGACATATAATAATAAAGCTCAATTACTTATTTTTTATTTCATTTTACTCCTTGGTCTCTGTTGGTGTGGTCTTGACTACAATACTTAATAAAAAATGTTTTCTTTTAAATCAACATAAATGCAATTTCTAAATCATTTAATTTATTGTGTGATTTCAAATGCTTTTTTCATTTGGACAAGATAGAACCTTTATCATTTCTTTTGTGCCTCATAGTTAGAATTAGAAAAAGGCTTGTAAGGAAAAGGTACAAAAACCCTCTTTAAAAATGCATCATTTACAAATATAGAGGTATTTCTAGATCTTTTTAAATTCTTATTATTTTTTTGTCATAGTATCTAACAGCTTACCAGGAGAACTGAACAAATGTATATAAGTCCTATATAATAAATACTTTTAGTTTTGAGATGAAAGGTTTAGATGTAAGATCATTTGTAATCTTTTCTTAATTATAATTACTGTTTTTTAAATGCAATATGTCTCACTTTTTTGATAGCAGAATTTTGATCCTATCAAACTTTTCTTTTTTTTATTTTTACTACAAGGCTGTAAGATTGCATGTCATGCCCTGTCAAGCCTACCTTCACCTTGTGTGGTCATATGCCCATACCTGCAGCCTGATATATGACACACCAGTTAAATGCAGCAGCATGTGTTGGCTATAAATAACTGGGAATCTGTTAGAAAAGGTTAGACTACTGTAGCTGGTAAAACACAGCCTTGACACAGACACATGAAGAGACACATGAACGACCTTCAGCCCTTAACGTACATTTAGCCCCACAGGTACATGGACAGATGGTCAGATGAATAGATACAAGCTGTTAGATTGACAAACCCCTTCAATTTTTATACAGCCTCAAGGAAAGTAGGAAAGAGGTTTGATAGCTACCATGAGAATGTCAGACTTCCTCCCACTGATTTTCTAGCTTTTAAACTGGCCCTAAATGTAAAGATGATGGGTGTTCTGATGCAGCTATGAATCACCAGATATACAATTAAAATATCTCATCTTTCCTTTTTTTTTTTTTTTTTTTAAATACACAATAGAGCCAATGGCACTGTATACTCCTTTCATGCCTCTTTTTGAGTTTGTTTATACTTCATTCATTCACGATAAAGGAAACTGGAGGTGTGATAATAGTTAAACCTCCCTATTTTCCCTCTAGATTCCCCTTTTAACTCAATTAATCCACACATGCAAAAAACTAAAACATCATTAACTCTATAGGCAATGTGTTATAAACTAGAAGAGCAGGAATGTATTTATTCATAAAAATAGTGAATGTTAGAAAATAATCATTCTGTCTGGATATTTAAAATCTACTGTGAGGGGATACCAGACACATGTAGCGTCCTTGTTTAATTTTGATCCACTTTTCCAGCCAAACTATCACCAAATTTTGAGGATTCAGGGTCCATCTTCTGACCACTCAGGCCTTTAACTGGTTACATAGATGTTTTAATGGGATCCACTATCTGTTGTAGACCAGGCCAATCCAGAAGCTTTATTTTATTAATGAAAAATTAAATGAACATTTCCTTGGCCTGGCTTGTATTTGATCATCATTCGCCCCAATTCTCCTGTACAGTTTGGTTTAAAAAAAAGTTCCAGAATTTTGTTTTGTTCTCTCTTCCTTTAATTAAAAGAAGTCTGAAAGTATATTGGAGGCAGCCAGACATCATTATATTTGTTACGCCCCCAAGGTCTAGGGGTCTTGGGGAAGCAACATAAATAATGTCTGGAGTAGTTCAGGGGAAGTTTAAAATTATTTATTACAAAAAAAAGATGGTTAAACAGCCCCAAAACACAATATAGCTTAACTCAGTTAAAACAAAACAACAAAAAAAGGTAAGGGCAAACAAATTCAAGATTGGCTGAGAGCAAATAAAATTACAAACTGCCCAAAAACAGTCAGACTAAGTTTTAACACAAAAACAAACCAAATGAAAAGACAAAGGGAGCACCAAACCTCCCAAACACAAGCTACTAGCTTGAACAAGTCCACCTAAAGCAGACTAAGCAAAGTACATACAAAGCCAGGCAAAGAGCTCTTTCATCCCAAAAACAGATGCAAAACAAGATGGGGGAACAGCCTAACAAAACCCTCCTAATAGCTGTCCCCAAACTGAAAGCTTTTCAGGAGCCTTTTATAAGGTGCAGGTGGGCCTCATCAGCACACTGATTGGCTTGACACTCTTCTGTTGCTCCAATCATGTCACTGCAGTCCTCAGGCAGCCACCAAGGGAGTTCTGTCAGAGCTGAACCTGCATAAGAAAAGGCCTGCACAGTCTTAAAAGGCCAGGGGCCGTAACACTCCCCCCCTTAAATTACAAAACCAAGTTTTGTATACATTTTGTCAAAAAGAATCCCCCCCCCTCAAAAACAAGCATACTCACATCCTGGAAAGGCCATCTGCAAGAACATTTTCTGTTCCTTTCTTATGTCGAATGTTCAGATTGTATTCTTGTAAAAGTATTGCCCAATGCATAAGACGCTGATTGTGGTTGTACATGCGTGAAAGAAATACTAGTGGATTATGATCAGTGAATACATCAATCGGTAAACTACTGGAACCAAGATAAACATGGAAGTGCTGAAGAGCCAACAACAGAGCCAAGGTTTCCTTTTCAATGGTGGAATAGCTGATGTTTGTTAAACTTGCGAGAGAAATAGGAAACAGGATTATTTAAACCCTGCAAATCTTCCTGTAAGAGCACTGCACCAGCCCCAACAGCGCTGGCATCCACTTCCAGCTTGAAAGGTCGGGTCAAATCAGGTGCAGCTAGTACTGGTGTGTGGCAAAGAATACTCTTAGCACTTTCAAAAGCATTCTGGCATTCATGTGACCAAACAAACTCAGTCTTTGGGCTAAGTAGATTTGTTAATGGTTGAACTACTGAGGAGAAATTTCTGCAAAAGTTACGGTAGTAGCCAACCATGCCCAGAAATCGTCGCAGCTCACGGCGTGTTTTGGGTGTGGGATAATCATTAATCGCCACAACTTTGGCATTGAGGGGACGAACTTGACCTTGTCCCACCTCTCTGCCCAAGTATGTCACAGTGGCCTTGCCAAATTCACATTTTGCAAGGTTAAGGCTCAAGGAAGCTTGGGCCAACCTGTGAAATACCTTATACAGTGTTTGCAAATGTTCCTGCCAGGTTTCAGTATAAACCACAAGATCGTCTAAGTAAGCGCTGCAGTTGGAGATTCCATGCAATACTGTATTTATCAGCCTCTGAAAAGTAGCTGGAGCATTACACATACCAAAAGCCATAACGTTATACTGCAAAAGGTTATCTGGGGTCACAAAAGCGGAAATGTCGGAAGCCCTTTGAGTTAAGGGGACTTGCCAATAGCCCTTGAGAAGGTCCAACTTAGTGACATATTTTGCAGTTCCAATATTGTCCACACAGTCTTCAATCCTGGGGAGAGGGTAAGCATCAGGTACAGTGACAGAATTGACCTTACGATAGTCTGTGATAAAGCGTGGTGAACCATCGGACTTGGTTTCTAACAAACACGGCGAGCTCCAGGGGCTTTGACTAGGTTTGGCTAAACCATGTTCCAACAGGTATGCAGTCTCCTGTTTCATTAGAGAACGTTTTATGGGGTTAGCACGGTAAGGATGCAGTTTGATGGGCCTAGCATTTTGAACGTCTATGTCATGTTCAAGAACTGTTGTACGTGTTGGTACATCATTAAATAAACACGTATATTTACCAATGAGGTCCATTACATCCTTTTGTTGCTCAGGGGATAAGTGGTCGAGATGGCTCTGCAGAGATTTTAGCATCTCTGTGTTCGTAAGGCGAGGACTAGAATAGATGGGATAATTCATTCTTAAACCATCAGCATTATTTAGTTCCTCTACTTCTAGTGGAGTTGTGACTGCAACTGGAGCACACACTCCATTAGATTCTGATGCAGATAGAGAGTTGTACAACTTAAGCATGTTCACATGGCAGACACGACTTGTGCGCCGCCGATTAGGGGTACCAATAACATAATCATTCTCCCCTACTTTCTCTAGGATTTCATAAGGGCCATGAAATTTGGCAGACAAGGCAGAGCCAGAAACTGGTAGGAGTGCAACAACCTGATCTCCTACTTTAAAAACTCTTTTGACAGATGTTTTATCATAGTTATGCTTCATTTTTCTCTGGGATTCAACTAGATGCTTTTTAGCTAGAGCATTAGCTTGACGCAGGCGCTCACGAAAAGCTTGCACGTACCTGGTCACACTTTTTTTAGAACCTTCTGCAGGAACCAGGAAGGTTTCTTTCAAACCTCTTAAAGGGCCACGAGGTGTGTGACCAAACACTAGTTCTGCTGGACTGAAACCAAGGGATTCCTGGACAGCTTCCCTAGCAGCAAACAGTACAAAAGGGACACCCTCATCCCAACTTTTTTCAGTTTCCAAGCAGTACTTGCGTAGCATTGACTTTAAGGTCTGATGCCACCGTTCCATAGCACCTTGGGATTCTGGGTGGTAAGCAGATGAAACCACATGCTTAATGTTTAGAGTTTTAGCTACCTGTTTGAACAATTTTGATTGGAAGTTTGTTCCCTGATCCGTTTGTAAAGTTTTAGGTAACCCAAACACAGAGAAGAACTTTGTCAGAGCTTTAACCACAGATTTGGCTGTAATTTTACTCAAAGGGATGGCTTCAGGGAATCGTGTTGCAGCACACATTATTGTGAGCAAATATTGATTTCCACCCTTTGTTCTGGGTAGAGGTCCAACACAGTCTACTATAACATGGTCAAATGGTTGGTCTATGACTGGAATAGGGCACAACGGAGCAGGTGGTATTACCTGATTTGGCTTTCCAGCAATTTGGCACACATGACAACTACGACAGAACTTTGAAACATCACGTTTCATACCAGGCCAGAAAAAGTGCTTTAGTAGAAGTTGGTATGTCTTGGTAACACCTAAGTGACCAGACCACTGGCTTTCATGAGCCAGAGACAGAACTTTCTGTCTATATGTGGTTGGTATAACAATCTGTTTAACTTTACACCAGTCTGAGCTCCCTGCACCTGATGAAGACCATTGACGCATTAAAACACCATGTTCCACAACATAAGCTTGTTTCTCTTTATTGGCTAGTTCAGCACTTACCACATTCTTGAAACATCTTTGTAATGTTTCATCAGCTTGTTGAGCAGATTGCAAATGTTGTCTGGTGAGAGGGATGGATGCTTTCTCCCAAAGTGGACCAGGCTCCTCCAGCACCACCACATCCGGAATTAACGGAATACTGTCACTTTTGGTTGTTGCCTCCTCCTCACTAGAAAATGGAGACATCAAAATAGAGTCAGAAATGGCAATATCAGGGGCCTTGCGTGCCTGTGCACGGGTGACCACACAGGCTGGGTACAGCCCAGGGTCTGAAGTTTCTTGGGTTGTCTGGTTTAAAGGATTATCTAATACCTCTAAAGTGGGAAGTACCAGACCTCCAGCAATGTCATTCCCCATTAGTATAGCCACACCATCTATGGGTAAGTCTGGGCAGACAGCAACAGGGAAAAATCCTGTGATAAGTTTTGATTTTATATAAACCCTGTGGACTGGTCTTGGAGCGTAGCCCATCTCTATCCCCCTCAGAACAGAGTTGTATCCACATGCACTCTCATGTGAAAAAGGTAAAACATTTGAGAGAATGACTGACTGGGAGCCCCCAGTGTCTCTCAGGATGCGTACTGGCTTCAAATCAGAGGCATCAGCTGTCAGTGAGATTAAGCCATCAAAAATGAAAGGTTCAAAACAGGGATCAGGTAATTTGTCACCACAACCAGTGCTCTTATTGCGGGGTTCCTTTTTAACAAAACCAACACCTTTAGTCTGTTGGGAATTTTGCTGCGTTTTGCGTTTTAAAGCTAAACAATCAGCGATGACATGTCCAGGTTTGTGACAATAGAAACATTCCCTGCTTTCTTTTGGAACTGTGGCTTTAGCCATCTGGGTATGTGGCACAGCATTAACACGTGACTTTTCATTAAGAACGAAAGCTGATTTATGAGTAAGCACATACTCATCTGCAAGAACAGCTGCAGAGGCTAGAGTGTTCACTTTCTGTTCATTTAAATATAACACCACACGATCTGGAATACACTTCTTAAAGTCTTCCAACAATATTAGCTCACGTAAAGCATCATAATTGTTGACTTTGGAAGCAGCACACCACTTATCAAAGAGAACACCCTTCTCTCTTGCAAACTCAACATAAGTTTGTTCAGCAGTTTTCTTTTGCTGTCGAAACCTTTGTCTATATGCTTCTGGAACCAACTCATAAGCTTGTAAGACAGCAGCTTTAACCAGATCGTAATCTAAACTATCCTTTAAAGGAAGCGCTGCCAACACCTCTTGAGCTTTACCAGAAAACTTACACTGTAACAAAAGAGGCCAGGTTTCCCTAGGCCATTGTAAAGCACCAGCAACGCGCTCAAATGCTGCAAAGTATGAGTCAACCTCAGATTCTCTAAAAGCAGGTACTAACGAAATACACTTACTAATATCGAATGGCATCGCAGACATGGAGGTGGAACCTGGTGTGACAGAGGCGGGGGGGGCTCGATTCTGGGCCTCCAGCTCAAGCTTGCGCAGCTGTATAGCCTTATCAGCCTCTATTTCCAGCCTCCTGATCTCTAGCTCCAGTTGAGCTCTCCTGTCCTGGGCTTTTTCCTCTGCCTCCATCTGGAGACGTGCCAACCTCACCTTCAAACGCGCTCCATCTCGTCCTTCTGAGCTCACAGAAGACAGTGGATCATAGCGAGGAAGTGTACGAGGTGTCTTTCCCCGGTCACTCACTGCTGCCTCCACACTAGGAACATCCTTGAGATCCTTCTCAAACAAGGCCTGTTGGCTTGGCACTGCAGCAGCCTCAGGGAGATCAGGCCCTTTAATCACACCAATCCCCACCAACCTATCCACTATAAGAGCCTTTAGGTCCCCTTTAAGGACCTGCAACTTAAAATGCTCCACAATTTCCAGCAATTCACAGTTGCGGCAGCTATCTATAAGCTCAAGAGAAGGGTCGGCTAAAAAGCGCTCCAGACTGAATGGAACTGACATGGTTCCTGGATACAGCCAACTCAAAATGTCCCCCTTAAATCTGGAAAAAGGGATCCTAAGAGGATCCCGGAGAAGCCCCCAATTATGTTACGCCCCCAAGGTCTAGGGGTCTTGGGGAAGCAACATAAATAATGTCTGGAGTAGTTCAGGGGAAATTTAAAATTATTTATTACAAAAAAAAGATGGTTAAACAGCCCCAAAACACAATATAGCTTAACTCAGTTAAAACAAAACAACAAAAAAAGGTAAGGGCAAACAAATTCAAGATTGGCTGAGAGCAAATAAAATTACAAACTGCCCAAAAACAGTCAGACTAAGTTTTAACACAAAAACAAACCAAATGAAAAGACAAAGGGAGCACCAAACCTCCCAAACACAAGCTACTAGCTTGAACAAGTCCACCTAAAGCAGACTAAGCAAAGTACATACAAAGCCAGGGCAAAGAGCTCTTTCATCCCAAAAACAGATGCAAAACAAGATGGGGGAACAGCTTAACAAAACCCTCCTAATAGCTGTCCCCAAACTGAAAGCTTTTCAGGAGCCTTTTATAAGGTGCAGGTGGGCCTCATCAGCACACTGATTGGCTTGACACTCTTCTGCTGCTCCAATCATGTCACTGCAGTCCTCAGGCAGCCACCAAGGGAGTTCTGTCAGAGCTGAACCTGCATAAGAAAAGGCCTGCACAGTCTTAAAAGGCCAGGGGCCGTAACATATTCTTAACCACAAACTTAACTGTTTGGATAGTGATCATATGCAGTGCCATTTTAAATGCAATGACAGTATTAAATCAAAATCCTGCAAAGAACTTGCTGACTATTTAATGAGTAAGAACAATAGAATTCTGGGTATTTTGCACATTTGCTGGCAGATTTATTATTTTACAGCTTTAAGTATAATTTTCCAACCCCATCCGTTTTACATGAGCATGCAGATAGATAGTTTTACTTATTTGATTTACAAGTTTAATAATCAGTGGTTTTTAATACCACTTTAACACAGTCAGATGTAGTTCAGTTAGATCTCTTCCATAAAATTTATTGAGCTTGCTTTTTAGTAAAGGCCGATTTTTATCTAACATGAGTGAACAAAAAGAATAAATAGATTAGTTCCTTTATTTTGTTTATTGGGTTAGTTTGCTTCACTACGCCTAAATCAAAGAAGACATTAAACTGAAGCAAGGTGCTGCTTGCATCTGTCTTAATAAAACCCATTTCATTTGAGAGAACGTATCTGTTGCATGCAATAATTTCATGATATCTTAGCCATACTAATGCATATTGTAAGTAGTTCATTTAAAGTTATGCTGGTTTGGAAGGCATAATTTGTGCTCAGTCATAATAAAAGCTGAGCAATAAATAAAAGGGTCATTTATGTGACACAAATTTGTTTAGAAGTAGGAGGTAATCACAACACTTTTCTTCACTGTTACGTAACTCTTTGTAAAAGTATATAATTTCTCACAATTACAGAGTTAAAAAGGTTGGTCTATCATCAAATGACATTTCCTTTCATGCTTAGAGACTTATGCATGCCGGAATGACAGGCACAGGGAGTGAAGCCTGTGAAAACTCCACTGACAAATTTCGTTGTAACTGTGGAATCAAATATTGTGCGTGAGTGAGCTCAAAGTCAAGGTCATCCCAGTGGGCAAAAATTCTTTCCCTGCTGTCAACTCGTATGCTGACAGCTACACATATACATGCAAGCAGAAATGGAAATGGTTCTGACTGCCACTTTTTTCCGCTTTGTTTTTATTTATTTATTTATTCACATTTGCATGTTTTTTTCCCAACGTGTTGGTTCAGATCAGGTAAAATGCAAGCTTGTGGATATGAGTTTTTTTCTTTGGTGTGCTGAATGAAAAACTGTGAATATTCATCGGCTTTGTACTGGTGACAGTTACTCATGTACCTGTCACTCAGAATCCCAAGTGTCTACAATTACACACTCATACATGTGCACATATCATTGTTGTTTGTTAACTTCCTCCTCTGATTTAGAATAATTTATTCTTTTATGTTTATATTTACATTTTGTATTCATGCTTTCAGTTGCCTGTTTCAGTTTTTTTCTGTATGGAGGGGGGGTGTTGTTTATTTATTCATTGCATCTCTGTAAGAGTCATCATCTAAGCATGACAGACTCCAGCTCAGGTCCATGGTGTGTGTTTATGACCTGCAGTGGCAAGCTCCAGAAGTCTTTGCATTAATTCTGCCATGGCTCCTGCAGGAAAGACAGGTGCACTAAACATGACTTATCCTTCACCTGAGTCCCTGTACGATTGGACACTAATTGAACTTGTGTGTATGTTTGTGTATGTGTACAACCCTGTGGTGTTGGGCAGGCATATCCCTGTCGTTAAACAGAATGCACATTTACCCAACATATATCTTTTTTCTCGAAACAGTCCTCTTCTGTGATCCAGATAGCAAAGACAAGAAATGCCACATCTTCTTGTGGAGATGTAAATAGAGCAGATGAAATGGTACTCAAAGAGCACAGAACTGTCTAAGATTCTCAGAGATAATGAATGAAGTAATTTCTGTAATCTTAGGATCAAAAACATAAGATGTTTTGCATGTACCCTGTCACTGCATGTCTCTAAGCTTATTTGAGAGTTAATTAAGCACTTCGAAATAAACACAGGGAGGATTAATGGGGAAGAAATTAGTTTTACTATCAGCATTTATATGTCTTGCAATTAAACAAGTAACTTTGTCGTCCGTGCAGCCATTTGTATGTGAAGGAAAATGTATTCTTGCAACAATACCTTGAAAAAAAAAATCAGAAAACTTTTTCCCCATTTTGTTGAGTTATGTCCAAAAAGTCAAAATGTCTTGGTCTCGAGAGCGGTTTGACCTGATTCCAAACTTTTCAAGATAAAATTTGGTTTATCAAACATAAAATCCATGCAAAACTCTTGACATCTTTGCATCTTTTTTTATTATGGTCTTCAACCATTTTCATTTCTGTGTCTACATACTTTAAACCAACAGTAAGTAACTTTTCAACCTTCATAAAATATTTTCATAACTTAATGATTATATGTCGACTTACAGCTAGTTGAACACTCTGTCATGACCCGAGGGGGTAGGTATTGCTTTTACCGGCATTAAGCAGCTTTTAGGATGGTGGCAGTAAACTTGCCACAAAAAACAACTACAAATGTGTAACTTCTTTACAGCATATGCCACTTCCCCCTTTTCCCATTGGTTATAAATTTTCCTGACAGACTGTTTGTGCAAATTGTGTAGGGTTGGTATTCAGACAGTGCAGCACCTCACTGCTGTTTACTGTGAAATTATGAAACATGATATTATATTTATTTGTTTTAAGGCTGCACCGCCACCACATCAGTCGTGGTGGTGGTGCAGTAATACGGTACAAAAGCAAAGTTGTCGTCCTTCATGCAAAAATATGCACCTTTTGGTCACTGAAAGGAGCCAAAATCGACTAAAACCGAAAGTTCGTTGAACTGCTTTAACCAGTTTATTTGATTTTGAGTTTTTTACTGAAATATATTTGTCATGAATGGATTGGTTATCTTAGTCAGTCAGAGTTAATTGAACTACGGCAAGAGTTGTCTAAGTATTGAATAGTGAAATAAACGTGAAAATTGTCATGTGGGGCCTGTGTTGGGAGAATAGGTGAAATTGCATGATTTTTAAACTCAAAGCGTGACACTTTGCAGCCCTGCAACAGCCTTTAATTTCACAAAATTTTGGTCAGAAATATAATCAGGGTCTGTCTGAATATTTATAGACCAGCGCATTGCCTTGAATGCAGTTTATTGCTACATTCGCTCGTAATACTGCAGGAAACACAAGCTTTTTACCCATCAGGAGTTTGGTGCACATCCATTCTTGTCTGGTGTGGTATAGTTCCATTGATTTCTGTTTTGTGTCATTATTAGGTAGAAATAGCATATATATATTGTTATATTCTATTTGACCAAATTATTTTACAGTAATTGTTTACTGATTTTTTTTAACTGTTTTTTCTTCATCTTTGTGGTGTGATTCTTTTTATTTTTTGCTAGAAAACACTGCTTCTGCAAAACAATCAAAACAGCGGCATGCAAACAAATAAAATAAGTACAAAAATAATTTCCAAACTTTTGA